ACACACACACATACACACAAAAAATACATGTATGCAAAACAAAACCGTCGGATACAAGTACAGTAAATACTAGATAAGATAATCCAATGAATACGCATAAGCAATAATCAGAGTTGATTAAGAGCAGCGATTGAAGGTCAAGATCTTTGAATGGTTAAAATGCGATTTTAAGTTTCATTTACAATAATTCTCTTACCTTGTACCCATAGGGTAAAAAGGGTATATTGGGTTTGTGCAAAGTATGTAACAAGCAGAAGGAAGCCGATCCCATATTATATATACGTTCCTAATCATGAAGAGGCGAATGGGTGTAGCCCGTCTGTCTGGATGAACGCCTAGATTTGGGATACTGTTGAGCCCACATTCATCAAACTTGGTATGTAGACTCTACTAGTATGCAGGCAACACGAGAATTTCTTTAATACCATCCACATATCAAAAGCTACATAAATACGTAATCTTTACACAATTATCCACTTTTCTTTCACATTTGATCTAAATTAGGCATTTCTAAGTACTCCAGCAGGATCGCGTTCTCTCTGCTTCTTCTCTTTAATTCTGCTATGTGACATTCTTTCTTGTTTTATCAAGAACTTTTGATTTGCTGGTTTTCGATAAAAAATTTCGACCTTTCGACTGCATCTTTGGGTGCTCGAAATATTTCCTGCCCCTCAGGTAATATTAAAACGTTCTAGAAAATATAATATTTCGTCCTTTTCGCATCGTTAGCATAAACACAGCGCTAATTTGTGAGCGATAACTCGGCTTCTATCCATTCGATTGCCATCAACTTTAGACGGGATCTCGATAGAAGATAAACCTGTTTAACGAAGTCATCCAGTCCTCGTCACTTTACGATATATATAACTTGTATGGGATCATTATACAGAGACCATTTTCGATTATACAAATTTAGAAAAATATACATTTTGAAAACCAATGAAATCTCTCTGTTTTCGCTTAATATTTCTCAAAGAACATCAAAGTCAATGTCTACTGTATATAACTATAACTGACCGCAGTCAGTTGGTCGACCTCAAGTGCGGCGCGTGAACTCAATTTCTTGGCCAAGTAAGTAACTTCAACTGCAACTACAACTGCGCCAGCGCCTGCGCCTGGGCTCCGCTTTGGGTTTCGCTGATTGATGAATGTTGCATATTTTGGACGCTGTTGGATGCCAGTTCGAGTGCGTCAGTCCAGCGGTCGGTGGCCGCGTCGGTGGCGGCGGTAGTAGTTCGCCACCATTGTGTGGCATTAATGAGACACTGGCCATTTGTTCGTCGGTTTGTTCAGCTGACAATGAACGCGCTGGTGGTGGCGGCGGCGGTGGCGGCCCAGTGGTGTTTGGTGGTCGTTGCTTTACAAATTGCACGCTTGTAATTGCCTGTTGTACTCAATGACGTTGAAACATTTTAATATGCCGAGTATTGAAATTTGCATGCGCAAATAGTCGTTGGATTTTAAACAAATTGTAACACATTTGTCCAGCAATTAGACCCACAAATATAGTTTTCGTCAATATGATTGCCAAAGGGTGTTTCGAATGCTAACTCTGTTTATTAAGTTTGTATTCTAAATATGTTTAATAGGCGCATACAAAAGTTTATAGGTAGTAAGATTGCAGACTAAATAAATCAATGTTTATCGAAATCATATTTTAGAGCATTCCGAGAATGTCTGTAGAAGCCTTCAGGAGGGGCATACTTATGTAAGTTGACAAAAATCGAGGCAGTTACTTACCAAAATTATTGTTCCCAGGTCGTAGTTGTCGATTAGAAAGGATGGATTATTGTGATGTTTTTACTGAAAGAATTGCCGTGCGAAATTAGACATACAGGAAATATTTGTATATTTATAAGTATATACTATATATGACCTCTTTTCAGTAAAAGATAAAAGATATCACATATGAATATATGTATTATGTCATTTCTCCGAGACTTAGAGTATCATTATTTATCTAAACATTTAAGACAATTTTCATAGCCTTTATGTCAAAGTATATAACAGACAGATGGAAGCATCTCCGACTCCATAAAGTACATTTTCATGACAAAAGAAATCGCTGCAGCCATGTCTGCCTGTCCGTCCTTCTGTCTGAATAAACGCGTGAACTTTGAAATAAGCTGAACCCACATTGGCTAATCTTGGTATTTAGACTCTCCTCATCCCCATGATTTTAATTCTGGACTTGTATAATTAATATTATTATTATCTATTTTATTAGCAGAACAATTTCACAAGCTGCATTTTCTATTTCCGTTAAAACCCAGCTGTTTTATTCTAAAATAAATCTTGCTTACACTTTGTTTTAAGTGTTTCAACAACGAGGAAGAGTTTGTTATTTTCCCAGCAGACTGGTCTACGATTTCTGCAGTCGAAAGTCTTATTAACAATTTGATTGTGGAAATCCGAAGACTTCATCTTTGATGGCTAACCATTAAAGAATCTCTGGGAAAAAACACACAGAAGCGGCAACTAGCTCTAAAATGTTTCTTGATTCTTTAATATTTGGCAATCATGGTTGATAGCTTACTTTTAAAATTCGCAGCATTTATAAGTAGGGTCTTGGGATGTTTAGGGCGTTGTTCAAGTCAATATTCGGAAAAAAATAAGCCAATGCGAGTCAAGTATTTCGTATTCTCGCCATTCACATCATTAAACACCCTCTATCTATCTATTCGTTTAAGGCATGAATTCGTCTAATGCAGAGATTAATATGAAAATGCTGTGCCTTAGGCTGGGCTTCGAATGCCTTACGTTAGCGGAACTGTTTATTACCATAAATAATTGTCAACGAAAAAAATACATAGCAATGAAAATAAAAAGTCAACTGATATACAGTCAAAAGCGATCCGGCCTGGTCGGGTCGAGTTGGGTATTAATTTCAGTTTACGGCACACTTGAAAGGCTGCAGGCCGACTGCAACGACTACGACGCATTGGCGCACCTTGACGTCATTTTGGTGGGTGCAGCAGCAGCAGCAGCAACAACAACAACAACAACAACATCAATTCTTACAACAGACTATTGCGTGTTGTTGTTGTTGTTGTAGCCGACATTGCTCATAATAAAGTCATTAGAATGTGCTACAGTGCTATATAAACTGACACTGGCTCAGCCCAGAGCTCAGCTGAGCTCGGTTAAGCTCAGGGCGTTAATAGTTTAGTTCCGCTGCATTTGCCACGCATTTCCATTGCTGGTGTTGTTCTTGTTGTTGCTGTTGTTGCTGTTTGGGGGGCGTACAAATGACTTCCGCATAGAACAAATTGTGCATGCAACTTTGCACTAATTATGCCAGAAATTGTTATTGCTCTCAAGCTCTGTAGCAAGCTGATTCATATGCAGTGCGCTTTTCAGTAACGCCACACACAAGTACATACATACATACATACATAAATAATACTAGTATAGTCACACACAAGTACATACATAAATAATACTAGTATAGTAGTTGCTCTGGAACAATCTTGAACAGCCACTCAGTTCGAATTAGCTGCATTTCTTTTGGAATAGAAATGGAATATTCTATTTTCTAAAGGGTTCTAAGAAATCAACCATTTTCATTAACCTCAGGTTTGTATATTTTTATTTATTTACATTATTGTTGTTGACATGTTAGACGTTTCCAGTCACACTTAAAAAAATTGCAAATTAATGTTTTTCAATTCAATTCATTTTTCTAATATTTCGTATTTAAAACCGAGTTGGATGCAATTTAAAACAAAAGTAGATAATTGTATAAATATAACTCATGTTTAGTTTATGTAGATTTTGAATTAATTTTTTTTAATGAACAGTTTTAAAATCAATTCCTTTTTCAAATATTTCGTATTTAAATTAAATACTGCAGTGAAATTCCGTTAATAACTTTTCTTCGAATTGACCGATTTGGATGAAATTTAAAACATAAGTAGATAACTGTATAAATATAACTCATGTTTAGTTAATGTAGATTTTGAATTAATTTTTTTTATTGAACAGTTTTAAAATCAATTCCTTTTTCAAATATTTCGTATTTAAATTAAATACTGCAGTGAAATTCCGTTAATAACTTTTCTTAGAATTGACCGATTTGGATGAAATTTAAAACAAAAGTAGATAATTGTATAAAGATAACTCATGTTTGGTTTATATAGATTTAAAATTAATTTTTTTTAAATGAACTTTTAAAATCAATTCCTTTTTCAAATATTTCGTATTTAAATTAAATACTGCAGTGAAATTCCGTTAATAACTTTTCTTCGAATTGACCGATTTGGATGAAATTTAAAACATAAGTAGATAACTGTATAAATATAACTCATGTTTAGTTAATGTAGATTTTGAATTAATTTTTTTTATTGAACAGTTTTAAAATCAATTCCTTTTTCAAATATTTCGTATTTAAATTAAATACTGCAGTGAAATTCCGTTAATAACTTTTCTTCGAATTGACCGATTTGGATGAAATTTAAAACAAAAGTATATAATTGTATAAAGATAGAACGTGTTTGTTTTATGTAGATTTTGAAATGTGGACTGTGTTGACGAAATTCTGAAGCAGGGACAGGGGAGTGAAAAAAAACATATGAATTTTATATTTAAAACAAGAGAAATATATACTTGCAAATATATTTTATATATAATATTCGTATTTATTTTACAAAATCTGGCCAAAAACACACTGCGACAACGCCACTCTGACCAGAAACAAGTGCACCTAATTCTGTTTATACACGGACTTTTTTTTACCTGATTTTGATATAACACGGTTTGAATATTCAAAATTTCATATATATTTCTTTAGAGATAAGGACCAATCCCCTATTTTTGCATATGATCAATGTCTTTTTTTACACGGTTGTTTCTGGAACCAATCTACCAGACAAAATATTCTTCCAGAATGTCTGGCATTACGAACACAGTTTGTAGGAGGTTCCCTAAATAGGACTCTTTACTATCTTCTACTTGACTGCAAATCAAAGAACGTATAACAAGATTAAGAAACAAAATAACAATTGGTACGATAAGTATATAGAATTTAGTTAATTGGTTTAGAATAGCGTCTATTTTCGTTTCCTTCTTCACCTCAAATATATTCATCATCATAAACAGGTAATTTTCTCTTTGGCACAGTTGGCACTAAAGGCTTGCGCTTTACGAGGCAGGCTTTGCGGCACTGCTGTTCTGAGAGAAAGCGATTCGGATTGCCACCGCAGCCGCCGTAATCGAATGTGTTGCAACGATTGCTGAATATATCGAACGCATACACTCGTATAAATCTCCTGCACGGACCGACATCGGCCAGAAAGTAGCACTTCTCTGCAAAAGGAATAAACGAACTCACCATAAGGGATAACTAATGAATAAAATAACAACACTTACCATTGCGTAAATCCCATAAGATTCCCGCTGCCAATTGAAGCATAACAAGAAGGTATAGCAGACGTAGTAGCATCATATTCAGAAACTAGTGTGTTTAATTACGATATATGTATATAGTATGATATGTTTGAGTTTAAGTGCTAGGATAAACTGAATCAAAATGTATTACTGTAGAGAAAGGTTCCAAAATTGATGTACTTTATATTTGTATAATTTATCTATCCTGAATCTAATTACTTATCAAGATGATGAAGGCAGACATACCAAAAATTCTGAGAGCTATGACACACTTAATAGCAACTTTAATAGCAAGAGGGGCCATCAAATTGTCTTGCCTATGGCGAGCCGGGTTCGAGGGTTCTAATCGGGCCAGGAATCGGGCCATGAATCGGGCCATAGCGACCTCCAACATCAACCAAACTTTCTGATTTTGATAAGGCATCTTAAAGTGTGGAGCCGTCAAATACTCATTTTTTTAATATAGTTATCGTTCAACACTCGATTAACTACTTCGATATCAGTGATTTTGAGGTTAGTTGAATATGGTGAGGATATTTGTTTTGGAAAGATAATAGTTATCGTGGCATAAATCCATAAATTACGCTTTGAATTAGTTCTGGACTCGCCTTAGGCTCCAGGCTAAGACCCAAGTGACTTTTTTGTAATCTGTTGCAGAGGTCCCACCTCTTCTCATCGCTGGGAGAAGTGTATTGACTTAGAAAGAGATTATGTTGCAAAATAAATTATTTTAAAAAGTTAGTCTAAGGCTTAGCCTAGGAAGAGACCGGAAGGCTAAATCTTTGTTGTCGAAACCGTGTGGTCGTGCCTTCAGCTGAACTCTGGGTAATGGCTGACGGGAAAGGAGAAGAATATATCGGGGAAGAATGTTGGTCTACAAATATTCAGACATTGGATACCTGTCGGCCTTCTTTTTGTATCACCCCCCATGGCTGACTTAACAACTCCCCGATGACGAGCTGGCAGGAATAGGCTCGTCAACTCGTCATCAGAGATTTTGAACTGATAGATTGGGGCAAATAGGAAGTCCAGAAATCTTTCTAGGATGCAATTGCGTCTCTAGCCAGCCTATCTTAAGATTAACCATTCTACAATAAATCGATCTACCGATGCGAATAGCCTTAGTCTGGAGGAGAAAGAGGAAGAATGGTTATTGCATTGGATTTAATGTCCATCAACTACTTGACATAAAACATGTTCGATTATGATTATCTGCCTTTCAAATTGTTGTTTTAGGAGGCGTAAACACCCTGATTATTTAATATTTAATTGCAGCTGCAGAGAGTTGAAGTGTTGTGATAAAAAATAAACACTTTTTTCTACTCATCATCTTCATGGGGCGAACAGTATGTATCGATAAATGTTTGCCGCCTGTGTAAAGAGTCAATGACTAAGCGTTTTGGGGATATATGGACGTAGGTTGGAGTGATTATAAGCTAATTTGGTTCTCACAGAATGTCAGCAAAATGGTGATGACGGCGACGACGACGACGACGACGATGTTGCCGTCATCATCAAGCCAGCGGGGCTGCTACTGCCTATGTAATTATTGTTGCTGCTGGTGCTGCTGCTGATGATGATGACGACAAACATTTGACGTTGATCTGATTGAAGCATTGAATGATTGAGTGGCCAGTCTGGTGGATGGGCAGGAGCTCGGTGCATAGCGATGCTGAGCTTGTTGATTGTCTCGTGTCATTGTCGCACGACTTGCGAGACGACGGTGATAAATAATCATCAGTCGGCGAGCACAGGCAGACTGTGCCGCTTCTAATTAAGCCTTGACAATTGACGTATGTAATGGCACAAAGGCTAACGGCATTTGTGCGGCAATGGGCTAGGCCAGTCCATTATCGCCATCGGGAGCTGCTGTTTTTGGTTCCTAGGCACTGATAGCGATAGCCAGCCACAACGGGCAGGGATAGCCACAAAGGCAGGCCAAGCCAGCCAAACAGCTAGGCAGGCAGGCAGCCAGGCAGGCAGCCTACCCAGTTGCCAATGACATTTCAATGCATTTATGATTTTTATCTATGACCAGGCCAACAAACCCATGCCAATTGTCAAGTGTGCTCAGTGCCACGGTCGCTTGGCCGGCTTCGACTTTGCTTTCCTGTTGCTCTTATTGTTCCTGTTGTTGCCGTTCCTGTTGTTGCTGCTGCTGCTGTTGTTGTTGTTGTTGTCACTATTTACCTTTGGGCCAAGTGCATTGCACTGATTTAGATAAATTGCGCGCACGTTTTCCAAAGGCAGCACCAAATTCGCCTTTTTATCAAAACAACTTCATCATCGGCTTATTGATCTTGTGACCAGTTAGTGCCGCTTGCAGGTTCCGTTTGTGCTCGTCTAACTGTAAAAGTTCCCTTGTTGTTTAATTGGCAATCCTCAGGTCGGCGCATGTGTGTGTGTGTGTGTGTTTCCGATGGCCATTTGATATGCTTCATAAGCCAAATTTAATTAAAACCAAATTAGTTCAATTGTGCATAATACGTATACGCTACAAAGTACAGCTGCACAGCTGCAATGTCCAAGCACCACTAAAGATAGAACGTTCTAATCGGGCATGCTGGGCTGTTGAATGCTCTAAAGCTTCTCACTCAAAAAGGAGAAGTCCATTTAATTGCACAGTTATTGAATAATTATTAAAACGAAGGGTTTCGGTTATGCTAACTTGTAGAAAAGGTTATTTTATACGATAAACATTTTAAATTTTAAACTAAATATGCTATATTTATTTCTGTATTGTATCTAGGGCATATGAATAATTCTTAATAACATATACAACAATTCTCTATCAACATTTCTTATTAATATCCAAGGAAACTCTTATAAATCAGGCCCCAAAAAGACGATGAATGCAGCTTGTTTCCTATTCATTCTCAAAATAATTCAGAAGTCAATTTGTTAAAAAGTACAGATTATTCATTAAAAATGTTGGAGCCCATTTTTCCCATTTGGAGCTCGAATTTTCCAAAGCCGTAAAGGACATCAAAAATTTAGTTTCCGTTCTCTTATTACTTGTGCAGTGCGTTGATCACCAATCTGTCAGTCAATTAGCACAAACTTTTTATATCTATGTATTAGCCTTATGCCAAGAGTTTTCAGAGCTCTCTCACAGTTGGCTTAAATATGGAATTAAGATAGTCTAAGAGAGCAATATGCTGAGGATCATTAAATAATGAACAGTCCTGCGAGTTTCCCGTGAAAAATGCTTTAAGTTTATTTCATAGCTTTGCATTATAAATTACGATAAATGCTCATAGACTTTCAAATGTAAAACCATCCAATATTTGAAAGCAAATCTCCATAACCTTTTGTTTAAATGATTTATCTACCAATTCATTCATATGCAACAGTATAAGACTGTTCCTTTTTCAACATGTTTTGATTTTGTTGTTAAATTTGGAATATCGATGCTGTATTTTGAATTAACTCAATATATCGTATATATAATAATAATAAGGAGTTGTGAAATCGAGAGTCAAAATTCTGTTGAGCCGAGTCTGAATTTAACAATATTTCTTTCTTCTCCTTTGAGCAAATCTATCAGTCAAAAGTGGAGGAAACTTCTGGTTTCTGAGCAGCAGGAACAAACTCTCGCTGAAGAATAAAGTTCTCACCTATAAAATAGAGATTACTGGATGTAGGGGTTGCGGGTTTATGATATAGCAGCCAAATCTAATAATCTTTTGATTATTTGGATTTTTCGGCTAAAAAGCCATTAAAAACTCACTTGAAGCAGCGTGAAATAAGAAACTTCAAAATGAAGAGATAATAACATTCATATATAATGCCTTTTCTTTTATGATTTTATTATTTTCTTTTTAGGTTAATTGTATTTTTTTCTTCTCACATTTGTTTCAATTATTGTAATAATCTATGAGCATAAAAATTAGTTTATTTTCGGTTTATGAAGTTAAAATCTGCAGAAGACTTAATATTTCCTCTTTTTTCCGAACTGATAATGTATTCTTTAATGGGATAATTGAATTATAAAAATTGTATTCAGTTTGTTCTAAATTTATCCAAATTAACTCCTACCATATTGCATTCAGATATAGTAGCCAAATTCCCAGATTTTGTATGTACTTATGAGAGAGAACAAAATCTTTCATAATAAATTTAAGTTTTACAAAAGTTTCCAAAATATTTACAATTGTAGATTTTAGTAGTTTTGAAATTTGGCAGAGACAAACACTATAGTAGCCTAATTTATTATGATCGTGAAAAATGTTCATCAAAAGTAAAGAAGTAAAAGGTTCATAAAATTAAAAATATTAGATTGTAGAAAATTTGATATTTGCCAGAGACAAACACTATACAAGCCTAATTGTCAGATTTCGTCTATATGTACTATATTTTTTATGAGAAGGGAAAACTTTATCAAAAGTAAAGAAGTTAAATGTCCAGAAAAGTAAAATTATAAGATTTTAGAAATTTTGGAATTTGGCAGAGACAAACACTATACAAGCCTAATTGTCAGATTTCGTCTATATGTACTATATTTTTTATGAGAAGGGAAAACTTTATCAAAAGTAAAGAAGTAAAATGTCCAGAAAAGTAAAATTATTAGATTTTAGAAATTTTGGAATTTGGCGGAGATATACACTTTACGTTTTCTCCATTAATGTCTAAGCCTGACTGTTACATAGATGTGCAGAAACTTAATATGCTGTTTTCATCCATTTTATGGGCATAGAGTATTAGAATTAAAATCAAGAAACGTGCCCATAATTCACTAACGCGACGCATGCGCGCTTTGATTTATTTGGGAGCACGGGCGAGATTAGCATACAATTAGAGCAATGCGCGAGAGCCGTTTATGCAATTTATGAAATATGCATGTACATATTTATACAAGTATTATGCAAATAGTATGTATGGGCATGGACGACTGTGCGGCATTTGGTCGGCTGAGCGGCTACGCAGCTCAATGAGATTGGCAACAAAATTTGGAAAGTTTCCACAAAGTTTACTGCTAGTCGGGGGCTGGGGCTAGTCCGGCGGCAGGCGGGAAGGCAGGCTGGCAGGCAGGCAGGCTGGTTAGGCTGGCCTCAGTCCGCTAAGATACTCGCTACTAGT